TTTTGTCAATTCAGTTTGTGTGAAAGGCCAACTATCTTTAACCAGATTGTCAGATGCAATTGTTATATGGATCAAAGATCAGAACATTCTGCAGGCAGCAGACGAAAAGCTTTTACAATCGGGGGAAATCCGGCTTATAGCTTTTTGTCCCATAGCTCGGACTTTGCTCCTTCAGAATGGTAGCCTTCCTGGAAATGGACCTTTCAAGGATAAATGTAGCAAACATACAGAGAAATAAAATCGGTATGCTAATCGAGTATTGAAAGAGGAGATTGAGTGGAAAATCTGGTCAAGTCATTAATAAGAGAGGAAATAAAATTTGAAAAAGTGTACATTTAGTGTATAAATAAATTTTATATAAACTTTTAGTTTCATATCAAACAATTCTAGAGCTTAGAAGAATAAAAAAAAAAAAATCTTCATCACTTATTTACTCTCTGTTCTCTTGGGTTAATTCATTTCAGCTTAAGGCAAGCGAGTATAGCGAATAGGTTATATATGTAATTCAATGAAAAGGCTTACTAAGATTTCTAGAAAAATACGCCTTCATCTCGTTAACTTCTTTTGTCTCTTTATTGGGGGTTGGACAAACAAATAACTGAATAATAAACAATTTCGTCTTTTGTACTGGCTAAAGTGTTTGGTCAACTGGAGCTCACAGAATTATTTTCCCATAGCTACTCTCCGGGCAGTTACCGTCCATCACCGAGTCGATGTCCTTTTCCAGCTTGTTGCAAAGTTATTGGCCAAAAAATGTTTTCTTTATCTGTCCTCATTCTGAACTATGTTTGGAAATAGATCGAAACGAAATTGGCTGGCCGAAAAACTGATTCGGGAATGAAATTTCTTCTGCGGTCCCAGGATATGACATAAAACGCTAATATTCGTTTGAAATAAATAAAAATGTTAAATGAAAACCGGAAAATCCATCGATTGAAAACTCCTACGTACAACAACCCAATAGTTTTGTGTTTCACCAAAAAAACAATTACATAACAAAAAATAAGATGCTTTCAAGATAACTTATTTTATTTCTAAAGTTGAGGTCTTACACAATCTATTCGTGAGTATAAAATATTCTTCTGGTAGAAAACATTACAACGGTCATTATTTATAAGAGAAGACTTTTTTCGAAGTTTGGATCGTAGCAGAACTATATTTAATTTTTATGGAAAAGAACAGCATAACGTTACCTAAACCGTTACTTTACTATTAAGGTTTTGTTTTAATATTCCAATAACAGCGGTTAAGAACCAGTAATTTATTATTTAAATTGTACTTATAAGTTAAGTACCTCACTGAAGACGGCGTCGAAACGTTTGAAGTTCAACAAACCCGCGAATGAAGACAGATCCAATAAGTGACCCAATGCCGGTTCAGCTACCAATTCGCAAACACCCAGCATCACTTTTATGTGAACTATTAAAGGAACATTTCATTTTAATGACGTCTATAAGTTAATTGTACTTTTTTTGGTATGTAATAGCAATAATGAATTATGTGCCTGTTTAATAAACCACAAACCGATAAACTTCATGATCAGCATTGGCAAACCTGTAGACGGTATAAATTATCGTATGACAGAAGTACGTCCTATGGATTTCTGTCGTGTTCTTCGTCCTAATCAATCAAAAATATGGAAAAGGTGGACAAGAAAACAATCACTAAGTATAATGAATGGATGACTTTATTCCAATTCTTTACTGTTTACAAATTTTTTAATTGCAATTTACAGACAACCGGGCAAATAAACTATTCTAAATTATAATGGGGCATAAGAAGCGTAATTTCAGTGCACAATTGATTAATTTTGTTTAAATATGTTTTTTCTCAATATTTTTCAATATTTGTGTGAAAATGTTTGAAATATTTAATTACAATATTTTATTTGAATTTTCTTATATATAAGTTGTTAAAATTAACAGGATAAACCTGGTACGCTCTCAACACAACGAACGGTTCAGTCTTTACAAATTAATGCTGTCAAAACTACTCGAATCGAGACTGTTGTTATTATTCCTACAATATAATAGTTCGTGTTGTGTGAGCTTTGGACTACTTGGACCTCAGAGAAATATATACAGCACTCCAAATATATATATTATCTGTCGAAGTAGGCAGTGTTTCAATATTCGCATCACAATTTAAAATTTTATTTAAGATTTGATAACAAGAACTCTCTCGCTTCCACCATATTATCGCTCCGTCTCACAAGAAACGATCACAGTTTTATTCTAATTAATAATTTTACAGAAAAACCATCCTGTTAAGCTAATGTTTAAAGTGCTAATATGTATCACAACAAAATTTATGGGAAAGCACCCCCGTAACTCCTCCGCTCTGGCAACATTTCCGTTTTTTCTTTTCCTAAACATTTCTTAGGATCAGAAGCTTCTTCCACAGCGGGGTACATTTGAAGTTTACATAAATATTAAGCTAAAAAAACACAAAAAAACACAATATTTCTTCCACTTTTAAATATAGTTATTATTTACAAAAACTTTTAACGAACAAATTATTTTCCCTTTAATAATTATATTTATAATAATTGTCTTTTTTCTTTTCCTTTTATTTATATTAACAAATTTGTTATTGGTTGAAAGCAAAGGTGGTGATAAAGCTGATTTACCATATTTTGTCTCATTAATTATCTCCAACTATTATAAACTCATCCTCCACCACCATGCCTTTCAACATTATAATATATTAATGGAATGTTATATAACCCTGGTAATAATCAATGTGAACAGTTTTATAATTTTACTTTTTATATGTTATTATTAATAAATAAAAAGGCTACTTAAATTAAACCCAATGACGATCTTTTTTTATATTTGGCAAACACTTTGAAGATATATTAACTACAGCAGTAACGTCCTATAATAATATATTTACAATTTATTTTTATAGTATTTATAATTATGTATAATTTTTCATAAACTTAGAGTCCGTTGTATATTCGAAATGTCAAAGCACATTTTTAAATATAACAACATAATGTGTATATTTTATGTATTTTTCTTTTATAAGACGAGGATTTTTAAAGGAAAATATTATTTTCTACTATATAACAAACTATTCTACGACAAAGATTTTTTTAAATTTAGAATAAATGGGATTAGTAATCAAATTACATATTTCGTCGAAATTTATTTTCCTAACAACAAAGAGAGAAAGAGAGAGAGATAGAGATAGAGAGTGAGAGGAACTTGAATCCTCTCATTGGTTATTCTTAAAGTAATTACCTTTAAAAATTTTATTTCAATGAAAATACATCTTTTGAGTAGTTCATTGCTTTATTCCAAAATACTGTAAATTATATAATCCCATTTTGTTCCGTTTAACCTCTTCATGGGCTGCCGTGAATTTCGTGCTAGATGAAAAGGCGGGGAGTAAAACGTCGCGTTTAGGTAGCTGCCTTTTTCTTTACATCCTTAAAGTTATTATAAGCTAAACTGAACCTTTTTTTATCATTTATATTGATTCTTACAAACACATTTCAAAACCTTGGAAGAAAATTAGTATTTTTAACTGAATGTAATAATAATAATGTGTTTTTATGCATGTTAAGCTTGTAGATTTCTATCTACTTTACTTGCTTGCTGATTTGCGTCTACAAATTAAAAAATTATATTTCAAATAAAATATTCGCACAAAGATGACTATTTACCTGATAATTATTATAGTTTCCTAAACGTAAGGTTTTGTGTTGCAAACAATGTTTTAAATAAAAAAGAATTCTGTTATCTTTTCAACATCGATCCATGCATCCAAGAGATGTTCTTGCTATGTTTTAAATATTCTTATGGAAAGGTACTATCGACTTATGTCTTATGACTAGTTTTACGCTTTCCACTAACAGATATTTGCAAAAAAGTATAGTTTTCTCGAACCCGTACGTCAGTTCCCTGTTGTGGCCACGGATTGGTCGATATTTTCAATTGTTCTATAGCTGGAAAGGGCGAGAATTGTAGAATTTTGTTATCGATTCAACTAGGCCAACTGTTCAAGGTTAAGAAAATGTTTATTTTCTCATAAGACGTTTTTAAACACTTTCTCTTGTAGCTATTGGTAAAATTGTTTGCAACACGTTTGGAAATAAAAATATAGAATAAGTAAACGGGCTTTGAAGCTCGTGTAAAAAAATCATATCAAAGTTTAAAAAAATAAAGTATAACACGTTTTACAAGTCTCATTTGTGGGGGAGGACAATTAACCTTCTACATTATTCTTATCAGTAATTTGATCCGATCAAACGCCATTCGGGCAATCCGCGCCCACATTATATACATTTCGCGTAATTCTCTAAAATTTGTTTTATTTATTGTTTTATTTAAAGGTCGTGTTCATTTAATTAGAGCTAGTTTACAATAAAGAGATAACATAACGTTATGCTCAAGTAAAAAATACGGCTGAAATTAAACATTGGTTTCCTTCAAATTCAACACTTTCCGTGCCATTTGCCGAGGCTTCTACAATTGTCATGACGTAATTGATTATATGTATATAAAAAATTCCTGACCTATAATATATCAGCCGATCATATTTATAGGGCGTATAATAAGTATGTAAAACGTCACAATTTACATTTAAATATAAAATACTTGTTAGAACTTTCTCGAGAGCGTACAATTTGTCAGATGTGTGTATTCGACACAGATTTGGGTTTAATTTCAACTGCTGTAACATAATTTTAATAATGTGATTATAGAGAATTGTTTTGACACTTTGACGCGATCGATCAGATAATTGCAATTCTGATTTGTAGCAATTACAATTAAAACTGTACATTCAAATTTAGAAAAGTGACGGAGAATGTTTCAGGATATTTATATTATTATAATAGACGTAATGGAACATTTGATCAAAATGTATATTTTTATTTCCACATGATTCAATGTCAAGAAATTATTAATTTAAATTGATAAAATTAAAAAAATAACATTCATTTAGATTAAGGGTACTTTTTGTAATAAATTTGTAAAATTGAATTCGGATTTTATTTTCTATTTTTAAATATCTTAGAACACAGTATTACTATTATTATAGTTGAAACAATTGTTCCGGGCTGTTTTTCTACAATTAAATAGTTATATTGGAAAAAGCTTATTCGTTGAAGCGCACAATGAACGTTTTCAATGTTTTTCACTTTAACTTTTGTATGCTTCAAAGGAAACAGTATCAATTGGCAGCCGTATTTTTAGCTTGCTTTGAATTCATTGAAAATTCAAAAAGTTTAATATTTTCTATAAATGAGAGGGGGGCAAAATATTTTCTCTAATTTGTATACATAATTCGTCTAGAAGCGATTCGAAATGAAGACACTCGATTTCAAAAACCATATAACACAATACAATTACCTAGACAATTGTTTTTAAGACGAAAATTTCTCTTAATCATTTACTTATTTTTCTTAAGGTATTTATTTCACCTAATATTTATAAGAGTTTTAGGAAAATATATTCGATGAAATGGTCGTAATTTTAATACATCACATAGAAGAATAAAGTGCGATGGAATGACGGAACACCAACTTCAGAACCACGAGGTCAATCACTATATAGTTCATAATAAAACATATTTAAAAAAAAATGATTTAAGACAAACTGGGAGGGGAATACTTGGTATTTACAATAAAATGGGGAGGCACATATAGTTAGTGAATTTGATGCTTTGTACACTCAAGTCATTTAAGGGCAACCGCACTCTTCTATAACCATTTTGGGAAGGTCAGTTTTAACAATGTTCTTCTCTGGGGTGTAGTAGATGAGAGTGGCCGGTGAAAACCTGATGGGGGAACAGCAAGGTTGGAGGCCGACGACGAGATCCTTTTTCCTAAATTCCTCCATTATATGCGTATGGTAATTGAGATAGGTGTCGGGAGTCCTGTGCCTGTTGCAGTCCCCTCTGCAGTAATTGGCGAAGTAGCCGCCCGGGGCGATGACCCAGTCGTCCCAGCCGATTTCCTTGAAGTTAACGTAAAACTGCTGCTTGCAGCAATGGCCTCGCGGGGCCCCCGAACACTCGAGCGCCGTCCTTCGGACCCTTCTCGTTTGCGCTGGTTCAGTCCTTACAACGAGATAGGGCTTATTCGAACGACCGGATTGGAAAAGCGCCGGCGCAACCGCGCTTCCGCACCCTGAGCAGTCTATCAGCAGGGACAGCTTCCTGCTGCCTTTCCTCGAGTACCACTCCGTCACCGCCGTTTGCAAGTCCAGCTTGTGCCAGCCGATCGTCGAGACCCTCGCGGAACTAACTACCTCCGTGTAGGCGTTGAAGTCCTGAAACAGACCAAACAAAGGGAAAAATCAATTTTGATTTATGCATTTTTGTTTTTAATAATGTCAACCCAATAATACAACATAATATTATATAACATATATAAAACATTTAGTGTTATAATCCGTATATTATTTGTCATAATTGATAACAGTTATACTTTTTACCTAAGGTCTTGGTTAAGCTGAAAAAACTAGTGTCACCAGCGGGATGACACTAGCTTTTTCAGCTTTATTAAGACCTGAGATAAAAATTATAATTAATTTCAATAATACTGTCAATTACGACTACTAAATACATATATGGATTAATTGATAATAGGGTTGAACAAATTGTACATAATCAGTTTGAACTACTGATTTTTTATTTGTCATACGCAAACTAAACCAATAAGGTGCATCGGTGGCGCAACAGTAATTAGGTACGTTAGACATTGACACGGCACTCATCACTGTAAGGTAAAGGTCCCGGGTTCGAATCCAGCGGCCCTGCATTCAACCCGACATACTTACAAATGGGCTTGTTTTCAAAAACACCCCCCCCCCCCCCCCGAGGGTTGATATAACCTCTTCTGTTGCGAACCCTCGTAAAAAACGTAAAAAAAATACTTGTAATTATCATAAAATTGTAACAATAATCTGTTTTACAGTTTTCCTATAATCCTTTATTCAAACTATAAATAATGGTTGATTTTTTCTTTGGTTGCAACAGTATATTATTGGGGAAAAATATAAATGTGCGCATTTAGTACAAAAATATACTCATAAATTAAAACCAGCCTTTTTTAAGCATAGGTAAGAATCGGTCAACAGTGTTCAACAGAAAACATCGTTTTCAAACTAATTGGTAACTCGACAAACTTCATAAAAATCATTATTGATCCATTAAGAGGGGATTATCCCATGGGAATAATTATTAGAGCTTAGGATTAGGGGAGGCTTGGCTAATGTGGGAGAGACTATTTTTACTGATTACTCTAGTAATTCAAACACAGTTATAAAATGTTGATATTTATCAACTTTTATATTACTATATATATTACAATAAACATGATTTCGATTTGATTATATCGAAAAAAGCGCCTCTGTATTTGGCAAAATTTGCCAACGATTCTCACTTTTTTGTATAAGTTGCTAACAGTTAAATCCATTAGGTTTCGTGGTCCGATTGACCAATAAATTCTTTTCAATTAATTAATCTTTAAGGAATGTATTGGTTGAGATAAAAAGTCAGTGTCACGAGCGGGATTCGAACCCATGACCTTCGGCTAAATACGCCGCTGCTCTACCACTTGAGCTATCGTGACTTAAAAGATAAAGTAGAACGATGAAACCGCAAGAACAAAGTACGAAATGAACGTTTATGTGTTTCTTGAGCGTGAAAAAAGGAAAACTTGAATTTAACTTTTCTTTTATTCCAATGTTTCAAAGTCACGATAGCTCAAGTGGTAAAGCAGCGGCGTAATTAGCCGAAGGTTGTGGGTTCGAATCCCGCTCTTGACACTGACTTTTCTATTTCAACCAATACTTTACATAATGATTAATTAATTGTTAACAGTCAGTTAAGTCAATCCAAGAAGATTGATAAGACTACAATTTGATTTAAAAACTTATTCTGCTTCAAAAACTCGATAATGATAGGTTTTTTTTCAGTAGCATTGTTTTAAAAATAAAGTATTAGCAATGATCTTTTTATGCCCTACGATGAAACTGAGGAAAACATTCAGTTTCAGCCTTTAATGCTGAAATGAAATTTTTGTCCGGGGCGACATTATTCCCCTGAACAATCTCCAGTGGAACCAAGACGATTTTTTTCGAACTGGAACGACAGACTACTTTGCTTACATTGAGCCCTTTTGAGTTTACACAATGATATTATTCCTTTTATTCCTTTCACTGTCAGACGACAACAACGAGGCCAATTTTTTCTTCTACACCTGTGCCTGGCAATATCAGCATTCAACGCAAAACTAATGGTAGGCCCTGGGACGATATAGAGGGTAGTATTCCGCATTGAATGCCGAGACAAATACCTCACGCACGAATGATTAATTAAACTTACACTCGCATCGGCGTCGTGGGTCTTTCAAGGCCCAGAGAATGTTTTTCGCTTGTGCAGTCCTATTTTTTATTTATTTTAAATAAAAATAAAATAAAAGAATTTATTTAGTTGTACGGTATGGGTTTTGTCGGTAATATTTCTTTCTTTACGTATAAACTGTATATATATGAACTCAGAGACCGAACATGAAATGGACTTAATTCATGAAAGATGAATCAAACAAGCTGACCTTGGAAAAGACATACATATTATTTTTCATAAATTTCTAAATTGAATGGTACAAGTTTAATTAGAAATTGTCTTAATATTCAATATATTTTAGCAGTAAAATGGGGAAGACTAGAATGAGAAGTAAGGTCATTAGATCGACCTTGAACCCTCGCGTGGTTGGAACCCTGATAAAAGGCCTTCACATAACCGTCCGCATAAATTCACAACTTAAACCGGGGTAAATGAGGCAGGGTTATCATCGTCCTCGGAACCCCTGGCAAAAGAAATAATTGGGTTTCAATATAACAAGTAAGCTAAAAGGCTAGACGTAATCCCCTTCGTGGAGGATAGCTTGAAACAGAGCCATCTGCTAAATATGTCTTCGTATTAATGTTTACTCCATTAGTTTGAAGAGTGTGGTCGTTGAGGTAAAACTGGCCATTCTTTGCTTTAATTTTTGAACTTTCTTAATAGTTTGTTCTTTAAAGATCAGCCAGACCAACACGTTACCCACTTGTTACAATAGTTAAATAACCGTTCAGTTTTGTTCTTGTCTAATTATTCCACATAATAACGCTTCAGGAAATATTTTAGTTGAAAATTTTTTTTGGCTTTCTTTATGAATTCTGTAGGATGTCGGACTTTAATTTGGTCGTTTCCGAACACCATGGTGTACTTTCCTTTCTGCTTTGCTTTTGTCTTGTCGGGCGGATTTTAGCTTTTTACGCGTTTATTAAAAGTGTTAGATTTTTATCAGGGTTATTTATATTCTGTCAGCGTCTTTTCGTCCTTCTTTATGATTGTTTCAAGTAATCAGTTGTGTATACATTTTTGTAGTTTTTCAAACTGAGTAAATGATGTACCACAGATGTTTATGCTTGTATATCTCTAAGTATTCCAATACATCAATTTTTTGTATTTTTTATAAGACATATAGCAAGTATGAAACTGTTTGTATTGCTGTATTCGTATTTGTTTCATATGAGATGCATTCAATAGGTAAATTTTACTGCCATTGTCCCTAAACTATGTAATATGTTATCAATGCATATTTTATTGTTTTTGCGTGCTTTTATTCGTTCAACTTGTTAGTTTAGTTTGTTGTAGCTAATAACAATCGCTGAAATAGTTAGAAAATTGTGGATGTAAAAATAGCATTTGATAGAATTGACCGTTTGGTCACTACTTCAGGAAAAGTTTTTCAAAAAATAACATTTCCTACGACTCCAAATGGATGTTCATCGTGCAAAGTTCTAAAAATAGAGCATTGAGTATTTATTATAATTACAAAGGAAATTTTATTCACTAATCGCCAGTAAAATTGTTAATGGAGCATGAAACTCCCACGCCAATTGACAACGTGTCTGACAGAGCAAATCAATGAAGATATGCAAACCAGGATGATCTGGAACGACCATACTAGCCGCTTGTCAAATTGGTTAATTTGTTGTCTTAATCTTTGAACATCGAATATACCTAACCCTTTATCAATCAGCTTGGACTAATTCGTACATCTGCTGTCTGATCTGACTTACATGTGTGAAATTGTTTCGTGAACCAAACAAAATTTTATCAGTAAATTCACTCGTGCAATAAAACATCAAACAACTAAATTAAAGTTTTTAATATAATAATTGAACGTAGTTTTTCTGGTATTCTGAGTTCAATGTAATCCAAAAATAAACTATTAAGTACTATTTTACTATAACACGGAAATTTACATCCCTAATGCGAAGATGTATACTTTCCCTAATGTCTTGAAATTAGATTGTTATTCTATGTAAGTATTGTACTAAAATCTATTGTATGTAACTTTTACAATAAATTATAGCGATCAAGCTGTAAGCTAAAAGATCTGAAATTTATTATCACATTGCCAGTTTGCATCAATGTGTACTTAAAATAAACATTGTAAATAAAATTATTCCATTCTTAAATTTTTGACAGCTTTAGTTCGGCTTAATTGGATTATTCTTTCATTTGTTCAATCTTAAGGAAGTAATTTTGCCAGAACTCTATGTTAACTTATGTTAATGCTTTCTTAGATAACATGAGAACAAAAAAAATTAAAATTACTTTTGAGATGTAAAATTCAAGTTTTGTCTTTCTTTAAATTAGACTAAATTAACAAATGAATACTTTTCGTCTGTTTACATCGTACGTGCATTTCATCCAACTTTTCCAGAAACTACTTAAACCGCGGAATTCGAATCCACTATTCTTCAATTTTCGTTTTATTTAATTGGTACATACTAGGATACTTTTTATATTTTTTTATTACCTTTTGTTTGTTTCCTTGCTGCAATGATTTGCTTAATAGTTTCTTTTGTCTGGAATATCAAAGTCCATTTTGTCCAGGTTTATCTGCATTAATTTTTGCCCTGTGCTTTGTCAGCCAAATATTTGCTTTACTATATTATTTAAATAGATGAATATCTCCAAATTCTGGGAAAAGAAACCAGGATGCGTGCGGGCTTTAAGGCATCCAACCGGCTGACAAGTTAGCAAAACTTGAGCAGTCATCACGTTCTTTAGACCAGAGCCGCAAATGGCCATATAATGAATGAATTCATCAAGTGGAAAATAATCAAAGAAGTTTCTCAACATCTCGACCAGAAAAAAAATCTATAACTCTCTAAGCAGCAAGGAATAAAGGAAAATAATAGAACTTTTTACTGTCCATCGTCTGCCAAACTTGACGACTGCCCTGAAACAATAAAGACATCGCAATAGTCATATGTGACCTGAAAACGATATATTTCGGAAAGACGACGTTAACGCTTAGAGAAATAAGCGAACAATATTTTCTAGGGTCTGGAAATAAAGAAATGTCAATACAAATAGGTTTTTTTAGGCGGCTGTGGAAGAAACGTCTAACGCCTTAGTCTGCAGTGACTACTCCAGTATGAAACAGGAAACATAATTGATGGATTTGTGCTATTTATGGCGAGAAGTTTTCCATATTTTTCTGTTGAGAATATTAGTAAGCAGTTAGTTTTAGTTATGACGATTATGTGAAAATTCATCCTTGCTACAAATTAATAAAGTATAGTAATTCATTTAAGATTGTAGATAAAAATGATTCTTACAGGTAGATTCTTTAATCTGTGACAGAATAATGTTAAAGTTATACTTTTGTAAAATTGTACACTTTTATAAAAAGGAGGTATCATTATCCTGTTACATTTTAAACGTCACCAATTTAAAAAGATACAGCATTTTCTTCAAAACTTGATATCTATATAACACACTCAACCTTACATACTAAAATTAAGGTGTTAGTAATATATATAGAATAAGGAAAAATATTGCTTATAACTATTTTGACTTGTTACGTAAATTTTTGCGTTAAACATACCTTACCACTTAGCTGTGTGGTGTTAGGAAGGTGATGTGCTGTGAGCCTGATGACCCAGAGGGTGACGTTCCTCGGGGGACTGTAGCTCCTTTGTTCCAGCCGCACCCAGAGGACGGCCGATTTGACCCTTAGGTCTGGACCTTCCCCTGGAGGGAGGAACTCTATCAGTCGCTGTCCATTCAATCGGGGCCCTGTCAACAAAAAATAACAACAAATTACAATAGATATTGCTCTATAGAAGTGTTTCCAGAAAATTCAAAATATTAATATGGTTGCAATTTAATCTTTACAAGAAATAGAGATAAAGAGAAGGAGAGAGGTAGGTAGATAAATAAATACAAAAAGAGACTTGAGATAGATAGAGAGGAAGAAAGAGAGAGAGTGAGAGAGAGAGAGAGAAAACGAGAAAGTGAGAGAGGAAGAGTGAATGAGGGAGTAAGAACGAGTGAAGGAATAAGAGAGTGAGTGAGTGAGAGAGAAAGAGAATGTGAGTGAAAGAGAAAGGAAATGAGAGAGGGTGAGGGAGTGAGGGAGTAAGAGGGAATGGGTGAGCGAGGAAGAGCGAGTGTGTGAGGGAGAAAGAGATAGAGGGAGAGAAAGAGTGAGGGAGAGAGTGAGAGAGAGTGAGAGAGAGAAAGAGAAAGACAGAAAAGAGAGAAAGAGAGTTTGAAGAAATGTATTTAAGCTTGTCATGATTGCCACTTCGATATAAAATAATCAAAGAAAGGTTTTATGTTTCATCATCAAGACACAAGACAACAAAATGATACTCACATTTCTTTGGATGATGCTTTTTTAAAAACTTAAACGCGTAAGTCCGCCAAGCGTGTCTAATCTATTTTTTGCTTCAATAGGAGCAGCGGTTCTTTCCAGACATAGGGAAAGGGTTGAATGAACTAGGGCTGAATTAAAGTAAAACATAGCTGAAATTTACTTTTCTCTGATAAGAAGAAGGATTTTATAAAAACCTCTTACAAGGCGGTTGAAAACATGTTTCGTTTTTATCAGCACAATTCAATATTAGTCCAAGCCTCTGAGTATTGGCATAAATGATATAAAGGAATATACACCTATAAACTTTTATTTAAACTCTACATTGCTTTCAGTCTAAATCATAAAACAAGAAAACATTTTTAGCGCTGCTAGTACAATTGAGAATTCGTGAAGAATTTCTCGTTTATTGGATTAAAAGGTGAGAAGTTATGTCGATTTTGAAATAAGTACAGGTGCTTTGGCTATTTGTGGGATGGGAAAAAGATATCTCGCATTACACCGACTTAAAATATGGCACGCAATAAACTATAACATTCGATTTTACAAACCAATATGTAAGAGAAACTGTAATTCAGGTAAAGTTTCCATTTCGAATTCTTTTATTCAAAAAGCCCTTATTGATGTAATAAATTGTATTATTATTAAATCCATTAAGTGAGACATTTATTTTTTTCCAGTGTTACGTCCTGGTGTATTCTTCTTTTTGACAATCAATTAATACTTGTTGAATGAAAGAAAAGCGACAACATAATAACATACCATACTTAGGTACTTTTCAAATATTAATTTTGTTATTATTAAATAGCTTTCCCCCCAAGCAAAAAATACACAATCCCTAATATATTTCTTTTGATGGAAATCTTACTGAGGCCTTTTTAGCTTGATCGTATTAAAAAAAGTACCTCTTATAGATTTAGTACAGAATCTGTGACTGGAATGTAAAAACAAATTACTCTAATTGAAGAAAATAATATATTAACTTTCTTACGATTTACAATATATATTAACCCACTTTCTTTTGCTATTTAATATATTAGAATATGTTAATTAAAAATACAACAATTGACCATAGTGATAAGTAGGGTAACAATATTTTTTATATGAAGAATAATTTTTTCAATAAAGTACTTCGTGAAATTTGGGATGGGAGATAATTTTGGTCTGCCTAACCTCTCTGGGTTATTCTAAAGGACATATTTCGGCATTTCGTCATCTTCAGTGTATCTGTGAAATTTTTTTAAAGTCGCGATGAACGAATGTTATTTCAACAATTTATCAGACAATATTTAATTTTATATTTATTTATAAGGCAGGCTGACGGAAAGTTTTCGAACCAAACGACGAGTTCAAAAGTATAAAAAGAACCAATAAAATGCTTTTCCGGTTGTATTTTCCTAACTATAATCTCTTTTTCAAGCTACTGACCACTCAATTTACGCCACTTACAAAAAGAATAGAGCGTTTAAGAACAAGTAAGATCAACAGATTAAGATAAAACCCTATTACAATTAATTAATTAAGGTTTTTTAGTTGAGATAAAAAAGCCAATGGCACGAGCGGGATTCGAACCCACGATCTTCGGCTAGATACGCCGCTGCTCTTCCACTTGAGCTATCGTGACTTTGAAACATTGGAATAAAAGAAAAGTTAAATTCAAATTTTCCTTTTTTCACGCTCAAGAAACACATAAACCGTTCATTTCGTACTTTGTTCTTGCGGTTTCATCGTTCTACTTTATCTTTTAAGTCACGATAGCTCAAGTGGTAGAGCAGCGGCGTATTTAGCCGAAGATCGTGGGTTCGAATCCCGCTCGTGACACTGACTTTTTATCTCAACCAATACATTCCTTAAAGATTAATTAATTCAATTAATTACAGTTTTTTAGTTGAGAAAAAAGTCAATGGCACGAGCGGGATTCGATCCCACGATGTTCGGCTAGATACCCCGCTGCTCTACCACTTGAGCTATCGTGACCTCGATCCACTCGGACACTAACCATCTCAACTTCCCATCTCAACCCCACCTTTTGAAAATTGGCAAAAAGGAGGGAAAATTCAATTCAATTTTTTATTTTATATTAAATTTTAAATAATTGTTACTTTTAATTATAATTAATTTTCATATAGTCTAGATATAGATATAGAGCATTATTTTATATTTAAAATAATATTGGATACACAGGAATTTTACTTTATATGCTTATCTTTCATACCATTTCCTAAGGTTTTAATAAAAGAAGATAAAGGAAGGGTTAATTTGAAATAAAGAAAATTTGATAATCGATATAAAATTAATGATTTGACATGTTTATTTAGTCTAATTTTTAAACCATGTAAACGAATTGATGTGTTTATACCATTATAGACAGGATATACAGTCAAATGTTAGAGTAATAAGAGTTTGATCTTAGAGACGATCAATGAATTCTCATTGAATGCTGAATGTTCGGGTCGCTTAACCATACTATCAATCTATTTAAAGGTCAATTTTTTCTCCCCATTCCGTCTGCTGGTAAGATTTAAACGAGCAGAAGTAATCCTGCTTATGCTGTTAAGGTCTTTTTTACTAACCCGTTGAAATATATCGTTAAAGTGAAGCTATCTATCATTCTAAACTATCGCATACACAAACCCACTCACAAAGTAATTTAATAACACAAAATAAACTTTGTACACATTTGAACATAATAAAGTTAGGAAATGGGTCTAACCATTTTAGAGGCTAGGAAGTGAAAACGAGCTCGGGATGGCGATCAATTCCGTTTAACGGGCCTCTAAATTTTATCGGATTCACACGTTGTTTAGACCCGGTTCGTCGTAATGTTAAAACAATGGGGCCTTTTAATTTTAAAGGCGGGTCAAGTCGCGGTTTATGCTAACAATCCTAATAAGCTCCTACGTTTTATGGAGTAAATGACTTAATAACAATTAATTAATCGAGGGGGCGGCCCGAGGTTGAAACATGCCCTATTAAACCCACGGATGGAGAACGGTTTTCAAGTTATGAGAGCCAGTAAGCGTTCCGTTATTCTTGAATGTACTATTAAATTTAAAGTCCGTTTGTAGTTGAAGTTACATCTGTTTTGGTTGAGATGTATATAAATATCCAATTATCACATGTCAAAGTCTGTAAGTTAAGAGAGTTATTTATGCATTAATCCATATATAGTTAGCAGTCATAATTGACCATATTAATTATTTTAATTAATTATTCTTTTTATCTAAGGTCTTTATTGAGAGGAAAAAATCAGTATCGCGAGCGGGATTCGAACCCACGAGTAGGTTGAGATGTTGAGTTGGGTTCGAATCCTGCTCGTGACACTGACTTTTCATCTCAACCAAAACCTTAGATAAAAAGAATAATTAATTGAGATTATTTATATAGTACATAAAAAAGACAGTACTTAAAAAAATCTAAATTAAAACTACGTGCCTTACAAATCTTAACATAAATAATTACCATTTAACATAAATTTTTTAATTCATACAATTTTCACAAATAATGAATACTAATATTCATTTAAAGTTTTAAGTTAAGGATGATTCAAAAAATCTTTTTAAAGTTGTGGCTATTTGGACGTGTTCATTATGTTTTTAGTAGTAGTTTTAGCTTAGCTAGTATGTAATTATCCTTAGGTTGTATCTTTGATTTGTTGTACCTTGGATGTTATAAGGATGGTTAGGAAGTTCACGTCATTCCGTCAAGAGGGCAACGCTACCTCAATCGAAGCGAGGATTATCGAGAAGGATTCTTGAGGAGAAATTATGAATTATAAAATTTTGTTGATAGTCTAATCTGAAGTGGAATTTCCTATAGTATAGTGTCACCCGGCGAGGACTTTGACACACGGAATATTAAGCTCGCAGCGGATTGTAAGATTGGAAACGTTACTATTCTCAGGACTTTAGACAGTTGGACTCGCATAAGCAACGTTTCGCTGTGTCCTAAATTTAATGCCGTACGTCCAAGTAAAGGCAAGAATGACTGTGTATTTTGTTCGTTCAGTAGTGTCAGTTTGAAGGGTTTGTCCAGTAGTCCTTCAACATTTTATACCTGTGGTTACATCCTGTAAACTTTAATCGAGGGTGGGTTTTCCGACGTTAGTCAATGTATATACTTACTTGGTTCGTATTTGGTATAGCAATATTGTTAGAGTAAATGGGTGGGAGGATTTTTTGGTTTGGGGTGAAGACTATGTGATTGGATTTTTGTTCTTTTGCCTTGATTCTTCACCGCTGGAGCCAGGGATCAAGGTCTAGGTGATTTTGTAGATTAATTACTAGACTGGATTCAGGATAAAGGAGATATCATTGCTTCATCGAAATTGAATTATACATTGTGTATAGAGTAGAGTAAGTGTTTCACCTTTGGGATTCCTGCTCGGACAGGATTTTTAGGTGACATTGAAATATCTATT